TCCAATTCTTTAAACTGCTTCTTGGTTTTAAACTTTTTCTACGTAAATAGGAAATTCAAACTGAAGCTTTAATAATTTTTTGTTGGTAGTTTTGAATGATAGACGGAGATTTTCTTTTATCGCGGAGAGTCAGTTTGTATTCCTTACAAATACGTCATCGATCTTTCAGTTAGAATAATTTATTTTGACGACAGAAGCCTTTTTGAAATGTTTTATTGTTATTTAAAACCCGTTTGTCGAAGTTATAGGCATAGATGTTTATCCTGAATAGTTGAAAACCGTTGAGACAAAGTTTTAATCTGCAGTTACTTTAATTAAAAATTGCGGAAGTAAGGAATTTTCCCAATATGTAGGTCATTGTATCATTTTTATTCTCCTTTTGATATATAAGTGAATTTAATACTATAAAAAATAAAAAGGAAAGTGCAACGCTCCTTTTCTGTAGAAAAATACTGCTTTTAATACTTTTGTATGTACTACACTTCAATTAAATGTAAACGTTTTAAGTAAAAAAAGCATATAATTTTGTTGGCAGGTTCTTAACAGGAGTTGAAGTAAAAAAAACATCTTATATTTATTCCCAAAATAAGATGACAGGCGATAACAAAATTACTCAATTTTGTTAAACATGCAGTTATTTTTAATGTGTTTAGAATATGTTTGATTTTATAATGTTTTTGCACTTTCTTTCTACAACATTCGGCAATTGCTTCTGCATAAATTTGGTACATATTACTCAAAGAATTAGCATTATAAGATATTTTCTTCCCCTCTCCACATGCTTTCGTGGTATAATTGGAAGCATATTCAATGCGTAATCGAGAGCTCCAGGGTTCCTGGCGACGGCACTGAACAATTTTCACTTGTACTGTTTCAAACAAACAAACAAACAAACAAACAACAAAAAAAAAAAAAAAAAAAAAAAAAAAAAAACTAATAACTCTGCAGCATGCAGAAGGCTGGTAAATATTACATTTTTATGCTGTTCAATAAATATGCGGAAGACAGATTCAAATACATTAAACTATAAGATAAATCATGCGCAGATTTTGATCGTATTCTTATTAAACTCTTCTTATCAATATTAATCTTTGAAGAACTTTTGGGATTGATAAGAAAATAAATTGATCTATAAACGATAGAAAAGCTCACTTTGTATCATGCTGAAGCTCTCTTCATGGCAGTACTAACAATCAATGTTGAATCATAGTCTTAATTTAACAAAAAATGTATAAAATTCGGAATAGCCTACTTGTGGAGATCTTTTAACAAAACAATCATTGATGACGGTTTTAGCCTTTTGAGAAGCCTTTATTAAACGCCCCCTTACAACATATTCAATAAAAGGCTTTATAAAGACTTTATGAAGAATTTTTTTCTTTCTTACGATGTGCTTTCATCGTGCAAACGTAACCCGTCCTCCTAGCAGTCGGAAGATCCGGAAGTCGGATCCAGGTGAGAGCATCTCTGTTTGATCATGCTTACTTCCAGGCTGCAAAAGAATTTCGCATGGTTTCACCGGGAACGCCCGAATTAAAATATGGTAGGCGATTAATTTTCGGAAATGGATTCTCTCCTTCCCAGCAGCCTTTAAGTGAGAGAGGATGTACGAAAATTTCTATTCCTTTTATCCGGCGCTTTCGTAGTGTAATTGGAAGCATGTTCAGTTAGCAGTCGGAAGCTCCGGTGTTTGCTGAATTTTCATGTTCATTGTTTCGATAAGTACTTAATGAATCGACAACTTCACACGATTTGTTTGTTTATACGATTTTCAATAGCATGTATATGGGTCCAAGGCAATGTTTGCTTTCTTTAATTAAAAGAAAAACGTGAAGAAATTGTGGTGCTTAGGAATCACCTGTATTTTAGAGTCCTCGCGCATGATTATATAGTCAGCTCCCGATTAACTAGAGCAATACGAAAAACGAAATGAAAGGGTAAACTCAGAATTAACCTGATGGTAATTAAAAATAAATGCGGGAAAGAGGAATAATCTGTGTTATAATTAATAGGCAATTATTATTAACAATTTGCCTGCCTTTTAAAGCAGTTTAAATTGGAAAATAAATTCACTGAATTACGTAAAGGTTAATATTCAACATAAACTACAAAAGAGCAGATTATAAATAATAGAAATATAAGCATCGTTAAAATGAGAAACCTAGTTATAAATGACATCAAAGAAAGAATATTTTTACAAGATAATTTAAATAACAAGTGAGTTCAAACTAAGATAAAAGAATCTTTTTAATCTTCTTTTTTTTTCATGTAATGCTCGTGTATATATTCAGGACTAAGTATAATAAAATTATATGTTCTTTGGATAAAAATGACTCGTAATTACTATTCACATACTCTACTATTAGAGTTGTTATTCCACGCATTTTTCCTTTGTTTTCCATATTTACCGTGCACAGTATTTCTTTCGTCGATCATTTGAGATGAGATTATTAGCTCACAGTTTCCGTTATTCCGAAATAAACAATTTAAGATGTCTGAAGACGGACTCGATTAATCCGTTATTAGGTTAATACACATTCAGATATATTGGATTCCAGTGTAATACTGAAATGAGAGTAGTTCAGCGTTATTGATTAACTGTCTTAAACCGACTTCGGAAGCATTTTGTTTCAGAAAACAGAGTCCAAAATATGCAACAAACTAAAGCTTATGTAAATTTCGTCATCATCTTTATCTTTCATCGTTTAAGGTCTTTAAGGTCATTTCAGTTTGTTTCCCACAAATCAATCTCTTGATTTCGCCAGTAACAGGGTCATAATATTTAGGCTGTCGTCCATGGGTCGCGCTTGCAGTTATCGTATACATGAATTAAAAACATCTCACAGTTTTTTGCTTTGTATATTTCAGAGTTTGGAAAGATAAGGTACTGACTCGTTTCGAAATCTTAAGCTCAATTCGTGGAAAGTAGAGCTTAAAAGTAAAGTGTTCTTTAATTTTAGAACTGAAAATAAAGTGTACCTTAATGTTTCTATTCATTTAAGTACTTTTTATGCTTATTTTGTTTTTTATTTTAACATTTATTTTTGTGCTTCTTTAATTTGATTACCAGCAGCAACATAGTTGCAATTTATGAAAAGTTAATCAATTTGATTTTTGTTCTGAATAAAATGTGAACTGGGATACAAATTCGTATTTTTTTACTCGTGTCTTAAAAAAATTGTGCATATATTTATTCTGAAGATACAATCGAAATTTTTGAGAGCAATTAGTTGCCTGAGGCAGAGGGTATATTTATTTTCAAAGCTTTCTGAGGGAAATAAACTTCTTATCCTCATGGTCGGTGGAAAAAAAAATAAAAATACCGTACAGATAATCCAATCACTAGGAATCGAACCCAGGATAAAGTACCAAAGAGCTTTCTGGGTGATCTGTGTCACTGAAAATAAGTATTATTTCTACTATACCTCTCATATTCTTTTATAAACCCTTATAATTTTTTATTACCTGTATGATTTTTATAAAATGATAAACGGTATATTTAACGTAATATAATATTTCCAGACAAAGTTAATTAAAATCCAAGATAATATCAATAAACAAAGAAATCAGAATAAAATAGTAAGACATTATTATGACCTGTGCAATTAAAATTTAATTGAAAGTAATCTTAAGCGTAACACTTTTGAAGTATATGAAAATGTTAAGTATAAGATATACTGATGCTCATAAATATCCTAAGATGATGAAAAAATGTTTAATATTGAATTTATGAAATTACTGATTTTATCTCACGAAATCATCAGTACACAGTCTTTTTTTCAAAGCAATGTTAGAAAATAAATGAATATAGCACATACTACAACAATTAATTTTAAAAAATAAAATGCTTTCACAGAATAATAAGAAATATTTCAAGGTACGGTAGTATATTCTTTAGTAATTTCTTGTGCGCACTAGAACCATAAGGACAGACACTTACCACCCCTTCTTTATTTTACTTGCAGCGATCACAAATGCGAATAAAATTAAAATAAAACCTCTTTATTAACATATTAACCTAACGATTAAATAAAACATAAAATATCACAAAATGCCATCTCTGCAAACTTGCCGATAATTCAGGCTTATGTTCCAAGTCAAACTGACTGTAAAATACAATTTATCACTCTCTTGATTAAGTATTGGCTCTGCCCTAAGTAATCGCGGATCAGAAGCGTTTACCGAAGCTAAAGCAGCTAAATTCAGTTCAAGAAGCAGGGAAGTGTGATAGATTAACGGTCCACAAAAGCTCTCTCTCCAAACTCAGGAACTATGCTTTTATTTAATTTTTAACTAATTTGTATTTTGGCGAGAGATGAAAGTACGCATAAATGTTTAATAAAAATTAATGAATAATAAATATAACAATAAAATAATAACTGAAGATAAAAGAGAATAATTCCACTAATAAGAAGATTGTAATTTGCAACTTTAATTATTGAACAAAAAAAGCTGAAGAACCACAATAAAATGAATCATGAGACTGTAATTTAATATTAGTAATCATTAGTTTTCATATTATATCATAAATTAAAATATTGTTAATATTTGTAAATAGTAACATAAAAATATTATTTGAATATGCATCCTTCAAATCTGTGTTATCAGGAAAGATAATACAAATCATTATCACTACCATTTCTATTATTAGAACTACTGAAATATTTTTGGAAATTATTACTTTGGTTTTTGAAACTTACTTGTGTTGACATTATAATTACCGACATTTAATTTAGAGCAAAAATAACCGACAGGGATTGAACAAACTGAAAGACATTGACAAAGATATTGCAAGCTGGAAGATTTGGACCGTACATAAACTATTTCACAAATTTAAAAACCATTGCTCAAAATTATATATAATTATTAGTATAAAAAGAATTGATAATTGCAGTATAATAGAGAACAGTTAAATATTAAAAATTCAGAGATTTTAGGTCGTACATGGAGTATTTTATATTTTTGAAAGCATTTTGAAAAATAATAAAATTAAAACTTACTATGAGAATAAATGTGCCGAAAAATTCTGCTAAGAATTCTCTGATAGAGCTATTTTGTATTTTAAATTTTTGTAGAAATCTGTAGCCAGGAGGTGTAGACATGGCACTGATTGTACTTAGGAGGGGTTGTAATGGACGGTTAAAGTGTTAAAGTGACTCTATCAAGATCGTAGAGTGGTAGGAAAAGTCACGTGGGAAAGAGATTTGGGCTCTGATGTTAATCAGCAGTGGGAAGAGGCTAAGAAAGAGAGGCGACTGCGAGGAGAAGGGAAGAAGATAGCGTTTTTTTTTCCACAATCAATTTTCTAATAAATTTTTCACCACATTACGTTCAATTAACTACTGTTTGTTCTCACAAGCTACCGTTTTATGGCGATTTTTTTCGCTACATCTCAGAAAAGAATGAAGTTTAGTAAAACTTACTATTATTTTTTATTTTCTAGTTCGAGATCCTATGAAGCAGACAGCGATTTTACTTGTGATCTTCCTAGACAATTTATCTATTTCATTCAGGAAAATTATTGTATGGTTTACTGCATTAACGTGTAAGGAGTTATCACATTCTTTCGTGCGTGCTCTCATTGTGTAAAAACCACTTTTATACAGTAGTTGGAAGATAGATGATTCGAATCCTGTAGTTCAGGGAATAGATGAAATTTCATACATCTTGCTCAAAAAACTCTGATGTCTACATGAACTAACGAAAACATGATGGATGATAATTTGTCACCAGCTGAATTTGGTCCGCTTGGTTTTGAATTATCACTAGTTGCCCTCTAAGTCTGGCAGAATATAAGGAATTACTGCTTTCGTTCGTTTGTGCTGTCGGAGAGTAAGCAGTAGCCATTTTAGCTCGGATTTAGACGATACTTCGATCCAATCCCTGCTGTTATATGAACTGTCTTTTCAGACTTCCTGGATCCGAAGAAAATGTGTGTATTACATGCGGGATAAAATTTTAAAAAATTTACAGATGATGAGGTTCATTTTATATGAGAGTAAATTCATATCTCCTATTATTTTGAGACTGCTATTTATTTGCTTTTTATCATAAAATTTTATTTGCTTGTTACGAAAGGCGCAAAATGTTTCAACCATTAATAAACCTCAGCATGTGACAATTATCCTAAAAACATAGATTGCCATAATTATAAACTGAATGTACTGTTGATAAAAATTTAACAGTTAATGCGTCATGCAGTTTAATAGTAATAAGACCTTTTAGATAAGACATTTTTTTACTCTAAAATTTGATAGGTACTTATAATCGGATGGCTAAATAAATGAAATTGTTTCTACAATTCCATAAATTAGGGAGAAATTTAGTTATTGTACTATGCAGAATAATGACTTTCTTTAAATACAAAGAGAAACACACAAGTTATTACTATATACATAATCTGCGTAGCTACTACTAATTATAATAGTGATGTGTTTTTGAGCGGTTTTAATTTTGGCCTGCATTTGTTGGTTACTGGTATGACTGAAATCAAATATGTAACAATGTTTACTAATTATTCTTAATTTTTCTTTCTATACCAGAGTAAAATAGTGTATTTAATTAGGAACTTAACTTTCATTCTATTCAGAAGCAAATAATATCAGATTTAATCAGAAACATGCTCTCACCAAAGACCTACATTCCTATTTCTTAAAATTAGTCTTGGATTCTAAGGGGTTTTATATTTTAAGGGATCTTATTGTAAGTAAAAAAGGTAATTAAAATACCATTAAATCTTAATTAGAATTACATGTTATTGAACAGAAAAAAAAAAACTAATGTTATTCAGGGTTTTCTTGCGCACAAAATATGGAAATAAGGGTAATTTAAGCAAATCATTAATGAAATATGTACGTTGCCTACTCACATAACTTGATAAATTGTAGGGGTTATGTCTGAACGCGGTCGAATGCTATTAAGCATGTTTAGAAGACGGACAAAAATGGACATGTGCATGTAAACTCAAGGTAGATCAAACGCACTTCGCCAGAGAGCTAAGTATTCTCCAAAGATTAAACTTGAGAATCAGTAACTGGGTTATTTGCTTGGGATCAGCCTTTAGACTTGATGGCAAAGGTTGTAGCGTTTGTTGTCCTTTTCGATGTATTGCATGCGCCTTATTGGTTATACCATAGTCGCTTTATTTGTAACTGTATTGCTGGGAACCTGCAGCTTTTGAAGATTGTTATTTGTGATTTATATGAAGGAACCGTTGTGCTATCCTAGAATGGTAGCTTGCGATCTCAGCAGCCAATAATTTTCGAACAAACATATTCAGAAAGCTTTACCATAATGATCTTTATGTGAAAACACCGTTATGTTACATACCGAATTCCGCGACTTGTAAAAGAGAACATTTCAGACTTTTTTTCTTTATCGGCCGTGAATTCAACGTTTTGTTTCAATGCTCATGTTTGAGTCGTCTTAGTGTTTACGAAGGCGTGCAACTTCATTTTAAATATTGATTCTGTAAGTGTGTTCATCTGGAGAAAACCTAGGACGCGCACTCTTCCGTCGCATACCCCTCGACAGATATTTATTCCTCGTTCGTGGTTTCCTTGCTTGAATAAGAGGAATAATAAGAAAAAGCTGCAACGCTCCGAGCTTTCTTATGAAACAGGTCCTTTAAGCTCTGAAAATTAAGTGCATTAGGTTGTGCACAACCAAGACAAGCTGCTCAGTGATCCCAAATCAGCTTTCAAGCGGTTACGTAGTAATTATATTCTTGCTAAAATCAGGAGGTAACGTTCTTCAGAATCCAAGGCTAGCTTCTGATGCTGCAATTACACTTCGATAACCTTCAAAAACAGGACGACTAAATTGTTTCCATGCGTAGAAAGCGTTGAAGATACTTAATATGCCTCGTGGTTAGTATTTAACTTTCTAGAAGTATTCAGATGTGCTCTGATTTTAAACATAAAACTTTCAGACAAATTAGATTGCTATAGTTACTCGATAAAATCCTTCAACGCCTCTACTGTGAACAAGATATCGTATCATCGATTTTGGTTCTCAAAAACGTTAGCCACTTTCATGCAACCAGTGCGGATTGTGGAATTTATAAGTGTCGCTATGCACAGGCATTAATCATGGTTTTTCTTATTCTAGACGCGGCTAAAGACTTGGAGTGCATCTGACAAGGGGGTTTAATTAAAAAGGTCACCAACCACGAACTTAGCGGAAAGATGGTTCTTATCATTCACCCATTTCTTACAGACGGAACCTTCAGCGTCAGGCAGGGTAAAAACTACTCCGTAGTTACTAAGATCCTAGACAGGGCTCCACAAGGGTAAATCCTCTGTATAATCTACGTCATGGATTTTCCGATGCTCTATGACCGCATTAATTGTATTATGGTATGTCAGGCTGACGGTACTGTGATGCGTTTGAGTTCGTTAAATCCAGGCTTTCTCAAAGCACGCATGCAAAATATAATGCATAAAATAAATGTGTAGAATTATTATTATTTTATTTCACCAGGTATTTATCATTTCATAATTTGCTGTTACTTCTCCTTTCCGTTTCCCAACCAGAATGCAAATTAAATTGAGAGTCAAGCTAAGACAGAGCGCGTGTATGCCTCTCGAGGTCACGTTACTAGCGCTGATAAGACTTTAACTCTTCAGCGTGTCTTTACAGTTTCCTATATTTAAATCATTACGCCGGGGAAAGTTTTGAATCAACTTCACGTTAAAAAAATTTTGTAGTCTCTGACTACTATGTTTTAATTCTGAAATTTACTGTTACTTGCATCGGCACAAATGATGGCCTGATTCTGTTCGCGCTCACAGATTCTGAGAACTGATGTTCAAGTTCTGATTTAATAAAAGGTTTGTTTTGAAACCTTGCAAGACTCCGTCGTTAACTTCAAAGACAGTGATAATTCGTTATACGTCTGCACAGAGTTTGGATCTATGCTATGCTGCTAAGAAGAAAAATGATGAAGAAGCCACACTTTTTAACGAGACAGTGTCCAACGACACTAGGGTGACATATTTAAGAGTAATCGATACCATATTCACGTGGAAATACAGGTCTGGTTGTTAATTGTAAAGCCACTCGAATTTCCAGGGAAAAATATTGCCTTCTTTAAACATCATCTCCCTTTGATCTCGTGAGCACAAAGCAATTTATATTTTTATTATAAGTGTCATTATAACATACGCTTCTCCTTCTCAGAGCACTGCTTCAGCCACAGATTTTAAAGTTCTGCAAAGCTATCAAAATGAATTCATCCGTAAAATCACCATGGCACCCTGATTTTTTCTCAACAAACAGCAAAACAATGATCTCAAACAGTTGATTTAAAACTATTTTTCGCCCAACTTAACAGTAAACTCTTCACAAAGGGTGCGGTAAAATCAGCTGATAACTTCAAATACGAATTAATAAACACTGATATGAATTTAAGACCCTTCATTATTCACCTCCTCAATATTATGTCGCATAAGACCTAATTTAGATGCTGCTTCATATTTCATTTATTTTAACAGCACCTCTACATAATAGATATTAATTTACAATCTCATGTATTACCTCACTTTACCTCTCTACCAACTTCCACTTCAGACAGCACACAAGAACTGACGTAGGCTAGGGACTATATTTAGGCCTTTTTAGATTTGGTCTCATTTCCGTATTTCCCTACCTGTCCGCAAATACCCGGTCGCAATATGATTTTGTGTTCAGTAGTATTTAATTACCATAAATTATTATTTACATTTACCAGTCTTTATACAGTTAGTATTATGTCTAATTTTGAGAACTACTTTTATTTTCTGTATGATATGAGCCTATGGTCGGGACACATCATTGTATATGCCATGATAGATGTCTGTCAATCGTGCCGGAGCTTAAAGATCATTCTTTTCATTGAATCTCAGTGATATGGTTTGCTGCAATTTTTCGTTAATGAGACTGGTCAGTCAGTAATTCCATTACAGTTTCATGATTAATTTAAAGCACAGAAGTGCTGAAAATCACTTTCAAATTTGAATGTTTTACTCAAATGAAACAGAAGGTTGGCCACGCTGTTCCCGGCCATTCTTTAAATTAGGCCTAAAATAAACATGCACTGTTTTAATGTTATACTATGCACGTGTCTAAACGTAAAAAATCAAACTTAGTCGGCTAAGTATCTGATAAAAAAATATCTTAACTCGCTTAAAATATTAACAGCTTCCGTTTAGCAATTTGGAGTAGTA